CGATTAGCTTGGTACCATTCTCCCCAAAGATAAGCCCATAAGTGTGGTAAATTGTTATTAACACAAAAGTTATACATTGTCATTACTGCATTTTCATAAATCGTAGATGATTGTAAAAATGTTCCTGAAGTGCCAAAAAGAATATGCGGATGGTAATTAAAATGTTCTACCATTAAAGAAAGTACTTGATTATGTAATGAAGGTGGACAAAAATGTTGTATAGCTATAGATGGTTTAAATTCCGGATTAATAAAAGTAAAAATTTTATGTACTTCTGTTGAGTTATATACTATTTTTGTAGAGCATTCCTTATTTCGTAATCGACGTAAAACAGCGCGACGTAAGTGCCACAAGCATAATTGAACTTTTACAGAAGGCCAAACTGTTTTAATAGCATTAATATGAGAAAAGTCCTTATCAGTAAAAAAAAATACAGGATTAATGCCTTGCTTTTGTAATGCATATAAATAGTTAGTTAATGCTATAGTACGTTTATTTGTCATAGATGTTAATGAATTTAACATTAAATATGACAATGGGTAACCAACGCCTTCTATATTCGCCATAACTACATAAAGTTCAAATCCAGCTTTATTTGTTTTGTATGTAGCATCCATGGCTATTTCTTCGTATTTATTATGTAATAATCGTAAAAATGGAGTAGTAAATGCAATTTCAAAAATTCCATTTTCTTGATTACTATATAATAATAAATAATTTTCATCTTCTTGTAGCAAATAAGTTGTTGAAATAAACTGATCATCATCACGAAGGTAAAGTTTTTGATAAAACGTAGTCCACCAGAAATGGACTTGTTTTTGTGTTAGTGTATGTGATTGATACTGTAGCTGTTCCCAAAGTTGTCTTGAAGTAAGATGAATATTATTTTTAATAAATTCAATCACTTTTTTATCAACATTTTCTTTTATAGTTGGGCGTAAGTGAAGCTCATAATGACGTATATAAAGATGCACAATCATTTTTTCTAGGTTAAAAATAATTCTTACTAAACCTTGACATGTAAATCGTTCTTGCTTAGTATATATACGTTTAGGATTTTGTTCAGAATGATCACGTTGAGAAGAAAGTGAACAGGTGTACCATCGTGTTAGTTTTTTACTAACATTATTGTATTGACGTAGATAATTCCATTTATATCCATCAGCAGCTTGAATAATTTTAATAACTTCTTGAAAAATAAGGTCCATTTCATTATTATTAAATTTCTCACTTGGTAAAACAACACGAATATTGATTTCAATTCCGTCTAAATTATTTTCACATGCCTCAAGTTCAGTCAAAATATAATCTTCTAAATTATCTAAATCAACGGTATCATCTAATAGAATTTCGTGCTCAACATGCTCATTATTATCCGGATTATTATTGGTTTGTAAATTTTTTGCTGAAGGTAAATCAAGTTTTTGACGACATAATATGCATGTTTTAAAGTAATCCGTTTTATTAATACCAAACTCTTCAGGTTTTTTGTCTTTTTTACAGCGTGAACACTCTCTTAATGACATTGTAAAAAAATAAATTAAACAAAATGTTCTTTAAATAATTTTTGGTTCTACTGTATTTTATAAAACTAATATGTTTTAGACATATATTAATGATATATAATATACAGTAATTAATATATTTTGTGTGTTTAAGATATATATTAACAATGCATTATGCGTACGTACAAATGATAAATTTAACTAATTTGATAAATCTTTAATGAAACTTTTTGCGACCAAAAACTATTAATATATTCTAATACAGTATTGGTACTAGTAATTTAAAGATTCAATAGAATACGTGCATACTGAGTAGAGTGGCCGGGAAAATGCGATGT